AGGCCTACAAGACTCTTGACTTTACCTACTCAGGCTGCTATAACCAAATATCTTACATAGAGTAATTTATAAATAGAAATGTGTAATTTACAGTTCTGGAGGGCAGAAAATCCAAGAAAAAGGTATCTGGTAAAGACTCAACACACTACTGCAAAGAGAATGCCTCCCCACAGCAACCTGTTGTGGCATTACCTAACAACAAGCTCCCTGTAGCCTCTTTTATAAGGGCACTGTTAGTAGTCACAAGGACTCTGCCTTTGTGACAGAATCACTCCTCAAAGCCCTACCTGGTATTGCTATTGCAGTGGGGATTGGGTAACAATGTTTTATTGTTTGTTTGCTTGCTTCTTGATTTGTTTTCTCTTTAAAATTAAAAAAAAAAAAAGTTTGAATTTTAGGGCATTACAAACCTTCCCAAAATACTGGTCCTACATTGCCTGCCCGCCACCCGGACCTCTCTGACCTCACCTGTATGTGACTTTCCATTCCAGACATACTTCCCCAGACCACTTCCTGGTCACTCCCGCACACACACCATGCAAACTCTGAACATTATAGCCTTTAAAATGGTTATTCCTGTCTCGAATGTATTTACCCTGACACATACATGGCCTTGCCTCCCTCCCTTTACGATTACTCTGGGAAAGAAAGAAAGAAAGAAAGAAAGAAAGAAATGGGCTTCTAAAAATTCTTAAAATTGCAAACTACCATAACCTCCATCTCACATTTCTAATTTCCTTTACCTGCCCTACTTCTTCTTTTCTCCTTTGGCACTCTTGACACTCTAACACATAACTGACTTACTATGTTTCTTGTTTATTGTCTCTCTTCAGTCCTCATAGAATGTAAAGCAAATCCCCACAGAATACAACACAAAGTAATCATGAAATGTTTATTGAAGGTAGCTTAGAAAAAAAAAATAATTTCAAACTCTGAAAACAGTGATCCTAACAAAGATGACCTAAAGCCCCGCAGAACAGGACACTTTTCCACTTCCGCTAGGCCAGTGTCTATACCACAGTGAGAAGGCAGTAAGTAGTGTTTATCATGCCCATGAAGCAACATATACAGGAGGAAAATGTGTGACTCCAACAACCTATCCTCCTACATGACAATGGCCATCAGAAAGGAACCGGGTTCACTATTCGGGATGGGAGTTTAGAAGAAGCTAAAGCACAAAGTAAAGCACAAAACAAATGCAGGCCAATTACAACACTATTTTTGATGTAGAACATAACAACTTTACATATAATTTTATAATATAATTTTAACAATATAAACAAAAATATGAAAAAGTAAAAGTTATATTACATCTCATTTTGCTATCTTTCTCTATTTCCTTAAAGAGTAACCTGACTACAGTTTTAATCCAAATAAATGAGATCAGATAAATTTTACAATGAAGTGTCACTTTCTTAATTTTAAAACTTAGTAGATGAGAAGCAATTTTGTTTACAAAGCCATCTTACGTGTACAAAAACATGAAAAAATTTTATTTATAAAATGAATGTTTAGGATATCTTCACTTTTTCAGAGAGTTCAGTATAGTACTGTATTTATTATTTTAAACATTCATTGTTTTACAAAATTTTTGAACTAGGGAAGAGGAAGAGATGTTGGGTTAAAATGTATCAGACAGATACATCAGAAACACAAAGCTGAATAGTAATGTAAACAAAGAAATTCTATATAGAAAAATGTAACCAATATAACCTTTCAGAAAAAATAGCTATGATCTTCCTTAATGATATTTCAATTAATACAATAACATAATGATACATCTAGCCATATAAAATGAGGGTACCCAAAATGCTCCTTGATATTGCTCATGCCTCTGATCTTTGAGAATACTCTTTCTCTGGTCTGTTGCCCCTTGTCTATCCATCCAGTACTATCTCATGGTTCTTACCATGACAATGGTAATCCACATATCATTCTCAGATTCCCTGAAGTATTCTGTCTTTACAGCAACACTGCATTTACAAGATAAACACAGTACTGTGTAATTCTCTACCGATGGAACACACAAAAATACAGTGATAACACAAGGATGAAGTAAGTACTGTCCTCCACTAGATCAAGATTAAGGTATGGCATGAGTAATTCAAAGAGGAATGAGGAGAAAAGGGAAACAGAATCTTGCAAAAGGCAAGTAAATTACAAAAAAAAAAAAAAAAAAAAAAAAAAGACCTTCACCTTTGTAAACTCAGTGTTATTGGGGACAGGTGAGAAGAGCCAGCCTAGAAGCTTAGAAGAGGGAGAATTATTTCTTATGATTACTTGACCATGGTCTTATTAAAAGTTTGAATCAGTATTGCCTAGCACACAACAGCAGGTCAGTAAACATATACTACACAAATCTGCTAGTTTAGAAAAGCACAAAATGCAAGCGAAAAATTTCTGGAACAGTATTTCTTCAAATGTCTTCTTTTGCAGGTCACTATATGTAAAATAGAAGATTAATATAATTATCCTCTGGCAAGCATGAGGTCGTGAGTTCAATCCTCAGTACCAAAAAGAAGAATGCAGAGTATTTATGAAATACCACAATACCTCATATAACTAATTTTTAAAATTAAAATAATTAAAAGTGAAATAAGATTTGTTACATTTTTATTTTATGCTCAATTACAAATATGAATAGATGAAACGATTTTTCTGAAGCCCTGTTTAAACAAAAATTCTTTAACCAGATAAAATGACTTGAAGTGTTTTGCTTTGTTTTTCTCATGTGTAGACACTTTTGGTGGCCTAATAAAGCCTCTTCTTAATTATGTTTCTAAATGTATAGTCAAATGAAGAAAAATCATAATATCACACAGAATATCAATTATATTAAAAGTGAATTGTCACCAAAGATCATATTTCTAATATAGACCTTCACTTTAAGAACTGGTATGAGACTATAAACTAACTTGGGAAAGCACAGTACAAATATTTTTGCCTAAATATTCAAAAGAATTGTAACTTGCCAAGATTAGAATATTAACAAAGTTATTTAATATTTAACCTTCAAGGACTTTGTGGCAGAGAAAGCTGCATTTATTTCTTGTTCCTATTTTGTGCATACGTTTAAAGCAAAATTTTCTTAATTTCATTATTACACAACTAATAATACAATGCTATATTTGTATCACCACCAATTCCTACCTAGCTTTTCAAAGATTAGACAAATTAGTATAGTTCCTTAAAATAAAGGCTCCTGAAAAAGAGCTTCATATCTAGCACTGTTCAAAATAAGCTAACTTTCTGTACATTGTCTTTAGGATCTACAATTAAGAAACTCCTTATAGTTAAAGCTGTCAAATAACACGATCTGCTAAGTATTTTAGTAACAAAATATCTTTGCAGGAAGAGTCTAATCCACCAGTTCACAGAGCTCAATATATTTCTGGAAAATTTTAGGATAATATTTCCTCTAGCATAGAAAGTAAACTCCAAAAACCTCCAGAAAAGAAAGCCACTATCATTTTGACCACTTATGGCGTATACCACCTCAAAATAAACATTTTCATGTTTTAATTTTGTCTTAATAAAACAAAACTGTAACACATATGGTATTAAAATTGTATTTCTTGACACTACACAGTGTAACAAACACTGCACCTAAACAACATAAAAGATCTTGAATCCTACTACATACTTGACAGGTGGAAAAAGTGTAGCACACCGATAAAACAGCTATTTTTTTAAAAAAGTAACTTTTGCATTTTTTACAGAAAATAATATTAATGAATTGATCACTGTGTCATGGTCCGTGTGTTTTATACAAACTACAATTTTACAAATACTTAAAAATTCATAGGAAAGGGAAAGGCCTGTTCTCAATCTCTTACTTTTTTACACTTTAGGAAGAAAAAAATACACAACTACCCGTTGCTGTCATTTTAAAGCAACTTTAAATAAATCACTTTCATAGTTTGTAACCAGCAATCATAAACCTAGACAAATCGTCCAAAGGAGCTCACTGTAAAACCCTCTAAAATATAAAACAAACACCTTGTGTTTCAGACTGTAATTCCTTTCTACAGTGCATCTATTTGGAATTCTTGTGATAACTTGTGATGCATTACTTTTAAGAATTAAGTTTTGTTCACTTCGCTCTTTTAAAATTTCTGTTTAGCAGGATGAAGGGTCTTTTGCCTCTAGACCATTATGGAAGACAGAAAAAAAAAAAAAAAAAGCAAACGTGTGCCAATTTAATCCAAAATTCATTTGTATCAGAATTTTATAGAGAATGAGATCTTAGTCACAAAGAACTTTCCAAATATACAGTTAAATCTACCCCCTAAAATAACTCTTGGTAAGAAAACAGATGAAAACTTCGCTGCCTAACAGATAAAGCCCTGCGGTGCATTTTGCAAGTCTTAATCAGACTGCATTGATAAAGAAAACCTTGTAGCGGGATAACAAAACCTCAGCACAGCTCAGATTGCAGGCTCTGAGAAACCCTCCCAGTCGCACCTGTACAAGCACTTCCTGTTCCCCAACGCGTCTAAAGGAGTTAGCAAAAGCTCCTTAAGCCCGGGTTTAGCAGCTAAATATTAACTTCATGCCTCTACTATCACGGGAAAACGACCAATTCTCAAATTCTCACGAAGCTAGTCCACTCTCCACTTCAAGACGACAAAAAACCATCCTGGAACCTGTCAGGAGCTCGTGCCCCGGAGAGGCTGTGCGGCTGGAAAAGTGGCGGCAGGCGCCCGGGAAGCCCGACCTGCAAGCCTGGTGCCCGGGGAGGGGGCAGTCGGACCGCAGGTTCTGCCCCTTACCGCCCTCAACCCGGCGCAACTACCGCGCCCCCGGGCACTGCGCCCTCCGCCGGGCGCCCCGTCCCGGCAGAGGCAGCGCCGCAGGGCCAGACCGCGGGCTCCCATCGGGCGCCGGAGTGTAGAGACTCCCGGAGGGGAGCCGAGGACTATGAGGAGAGCGCCCCGGTCGGGCCCGGGAGGGTCGCAGGTCCTCGGATCTCCATTCTGATCCTAGTTTCGGGGACCTACCGTGAACTCTCCTCCCCCTGCGCCAGGAGCGTGCGATCCAGGTAGGGAAATGCGGGCCTTCCACTCCCAGAGAGCTGCCTCGCGCTGGCCCAGCTCCGCCTCACGCCTACACCGGACTGACACACAACACCGCCACCGCCGAGGCTCACCGGGAACTGGAGCAGAGGCGGCGGGTCTCCGCGCCCAGAGCCGACCTCGCGCGCCGAGCATGCGCACACACCCAGCTCTCAGGGGCCAGTGGGGGCACTGACACCTGTGATCAACAGGTCCGGGAGCCCCGCCTCCGGGTCCCGCCCTCTGTCTGGCCCCGCCCCACTCTCTTCAAGCTAGCCCCGCCCCCGCGCGCGAATTCCCGGCTTTCCCGACTTGCAGACATCTATTCCCGCGGGGGTTCGGTGAGACGTGAGATCCCGCGAGAGCAGGAGCTTGAATCCCATTCTGCGTGAAGCCGGAGCGCAGAACTGGGCGGCGTAGCTTTAGGATGTCTGGCACTCTTGGTGGTTTGTTCGTGCTTCCTAAGCTCGGGAACTCGGATCCACCAAGCAGTAAATTTAGGTTAGGTGTTAGCACTTGAGGAAAACCGGACAGAGGTATGGCCAGGCCCCGTGCCGTCGCGCAGCTCCCGTGAGCTTTGCAGATGGCGTTCGTGGCTCCCTGCGGCTGGAATGCGTGGTCTGCGGCGGGTGTCCCAGCCCAGTAACAGGAGGACAGCTTTAAGCACATTGACCTGATTAACAGTTAATTATCAGAAAAATGTGGCTGCCTGTTTTGTCTGTGCTGTCGAACACGTTATAAATTATAAGCGGCGGCTGAGACTTGCACTGTTTTGTTTTAAAAATAATTTGAAGAAAAATTTCTTAGGAATAGTGATAAAAGATAAACTTGTCCTCGTCATCGTTAGCAGTATCTTTCAAAATTAAAGTGTGAGAGCTTATTCCAAAACTGGCGTAGATACAAGGTACTAATCACAAAAATGGATTTAGATAAGTTCATAGGATGCGCTAAAATTTATCTGAAGAAATAGGATGAAAAACTTTGCAGGTTGAATGGAAGCAAATTCAGATACTGTAAGTGTTTGCCCTGCATCTGTGAGGATTTATTGAGTATTTACTACATTTCCTATGTTGAATTAGGCACCAAAGGGAATGAAATGAAACTACAGTTCCTGTCTGTAAGATAAAAGAAATTTTTGGAAGGGAGAGGGGAAAAAACTCTACTGTTTTTTAAACAGCAAGAACATCTTTAACTCTTTTGTTCTTTCCTTGTTTCCCAGCTACGTCTCTGGTACACTTTGTTTTGTGTATGTGTGTGTGTCCTCTATTGCCCAGCACTCCTTTTATTAACATAATTCATTACATCTTCTTGAGCAGCCACTTTCTCATTAAAGACTTAGCCCATCAAGTATCCTGTGTCCAGGGATTCCCCGTTACATATCATCAGATCAGACCCTTTAAAGCAATAGCATCTTTGTTCAGATTCCATATGGATACATTAAATATAACCCAAAATTTATTCCTAATGCCATTTCTCTCCCCACCCCATCTGCAACCTAGGCCGCTTCCATTTCCGATTTTAAATAGTACGCCCCAGGTGGCCTAGAGTCAGAGAACTCCAAAAGTGCCTCTTACTTTCCCTTCCTCCCCTCTATTCTAATACCAGGTTTTACTGACTTATTTCACTGCATGTTTCCCAGGCTGCCCCTCTGTTCAATCTCTACTCTTACTGTTTCAGTCCTTCAGGTCATTATCTGTTCTGACTCATCTTCCTTGGACCGTTGCAGTGTCTACATGTCCTCCAGTTATTTCCTATTTCAGTGGAGCCTCCATTCTATTTAATAATTTTTCTAATGTGAAAATCTGGTCATGAACAACTTTTTCAGAAATTCTCTGACACCTGCAGTGCCTTTCATGATTTAACTGGAGATGATTAACCCCATCACCCCATTATTTCCTACTTCACACCAGCCGTTCTAAACTCACTCTTCTATGGTATTATTAGTTACACCCGAGATCTTTCACGCCTCAGTTGAGTATTTATCTCCTCTATGGATCATTTTGTAACTTCCTGAGACAGCTTAAACCTTCCTTCAGCTTTTTGGAACTTACTTCTATTATAAAAGTTACTTCGTAGTGTAATAATTTCAGTGTAACTGGCAGGGGACCTGCCATTTCACCCATGAGGAATAAAATAAATTGTGGATAACAAAGGCTTTCACAATGTCCTTTCCTCATTTAGGGATTACAGCAAAACACCCTTTTTGTAACCTGCTCAAAATTTTGATTAAATCTTAACTGTATACTTTTTAAATTATAATTTCAAAGTTTCTAGTATATCTGAGTATACCTAAGTACTGATCTTTAAATAATAACATTAGGTCCCAGTTAAAGGATCAAGAAGGCGGCATCTGAAGCAAATAGATTTAAAAGGGGTGAGGGGTTTCCTCATACTGGCAAAGAGATCCTGAAAGGGAGTGGGCTTGAAATACCAACGAATACCCCAAACCAAACATCAGTAGCATATGTATATTCTTAGTGTTATCTTGGATTGTTTTCAGCTGACTTTGGGAAATGTATATCCTGTGTTTACCCTAACACAGATGACTGGTAGGAGCAGCAACATACTGTTCTGAGGAGCTATGATCCAGTACTTTCCTGAGTTAATCAGCAGCCAAAGGTGTGGCAAATCATGACTGAACTGGGTGGGGCAGACTAAAATAAGAATACAGAGAAATAATACCCAAAAGACTGACTCAGGATTAGATACTAAACAAAGTCCTTTTCTCCTGAATGCATTATTGAGGAGGATTGAACAGGCCAATTCCTTACTAAACTAGAGAGAGCAGTAACCATAGTACTTTTTATTATACTTCTAGGGCATGGCCCAGTGCCTGGCAGCAGTGCTTAAAAAATACAGATTTAGTGAACGGAATAAAAAGTTTGGCAGTTTTACTGATTTCTTTTTATATAAAACATCTGTTTGTATCTTATTGGATTTTATTATGTACAATAGTATAAGCAAAAACCTTTTAAAGACAAGGAGATTATACAGAAACCATTGTTCATTTTCTGTTAGTCGATTCTAAATACTCTGTAATGCTGTCATTCTCTTAAATGGTTTTACATTGTTTTGATATACTTAATGCTACAGTATACGAAGTTGTACTCAAGGATTTCAAAGAAAGAGACAATATGGTAACTACTTTTAGGTTAGGATTATCTGGTGGTGAAACACTATTCTGCTTAAATGGTTATGTTTTGATCTGCGCTGTTTCGTTGTTATGCCCTCTTTTATCTCAATCTCCACTCCATTATTTACTTTTTTATCTTTATCCTTTTAATTAAAGGAAAAAAAATAGCAGGATATATTATAATAACCCACTTTGACTTTCCATTACCTTGATTTAAAGCCCTGTATTACTCTCACCATCTGGTTTTTAACCGGTGTTCCCCTATTCTGTTTTGCTGGATAGTATCAGGTTCGAAAGTTTAGGCATCAGCTGTGAAGATAATGAGATTCATTATAACGCCCATTCTCATTGACTTTTATCTACTTTTGAAGACCTACAATGTCTCCAATGTTTTGGGTTTGTCGGTTTTATTCTTTACTGTTTTGTTCAATTGTATTATAACTAACGATATAGGCAATTCTATTAGAGATAGCGGGAGGCATTATGGTAACCATTGTTGATCACCTTGTATTATGTTTTTACATTATCTATTATGTCCACCCTTTTGACTTGACCGATTCTGTTCTATTATGTCACATTTGGTTTTACTCTCTTCCAAAAAAAGTAATAAGAACCGTGGGAGCAATGAAACCCAAAATGTGTAATAGTCATGGTACAAAAGAGAGGAAAAGAAAGTGCTCCAAACTATATAACTGCATGTATATTTAAGTGTATAAGATAGAAAATGATATCACAGAGTTTTATTGGATCAATGAACAGAACTGTTTGCAGTATCATTGATGGAATGTCCACTTTACAAGCTTTAATTTTGTGACTTGAACAATTATTTCTAAGATGACAATATGTAATCCATTAAGTAGTGATTTCCTACTGTTCATTTTTTTCTGTAAATCTGTATAACTTGTACCCTTTCCCTGCTTTTTTTTTTTCTTTTCTCCTTAAATAAAATTTTTAAAAAAAATCTGTTTGGGCCAAAATTGTTGGTGAGGGCTCTGTGGAAGATCACATTTGAGCTTCAGCTTCAGAGATTCATAGCGGATGTGTTTGAAGGCACAGAGAAGGAAATGTGACTCTTAAGTGAGAAAAGTCCTCGAGACACTAATGGGCAATGCAGTGCTGAAATGGGAAGCCTTTGGGTATTGTTGAACGGCATGATTAGTTTAAAATAATATATCAAGGATCATAGAGGAAATGATAGCGATGCAAGAAGAGAAATCAGCCTGTGACTCAGCGATGAGCTACCAGAAAAATCTAGTCAGGATCAACCACTTCCTTCTTGAGGAAATCCTCAATTATTGCAACATCCTCCTTACACTGGCTGCTTCTCCTTCCCTGCCTGCTCCTTCTCAATCTGCTTTTCTTCTCTCCTTTTCAATCCTACACGATGATGTGTCTTGGTGCATGATGCTGAGATTTCATTCACCCTCAAAGAGAATTTTGGATGTAGTGTCTTGCTAAATTTCTCAAGCTCATCTCAAATATATCCCCTTGCCTAGCTTTTGGAGTAGATGAGATTATAGATGTGCACCATCATACCTGCCTGAAAATACATTAAAATGTATACACATCTTACCACAATTTATGTTGTTCAGTGACTTACCATTTATACAGAATAAAATCCAAAACTTTTGCCAGGGCCTACAGATATTTAAGTGATTTGGTTTTACTAACTCAAAAGATCCTCCTGCTATTCCATACTTTGGTTATTTCCCATGTTTAGAAGAGTAGTTCTACAGAATATTAAAAGCTGTTAGAGATAAGAAACAGACAAACTATAAAGGAAGGCCCATCAGAATAACGGCAGACTTCTCGACACAAAACATCAAGAAGAGGCTGGAGTGAAATATTCCAAGCCCTGAAAGAAAATAACCTCCATCCCAGATTGATAAACCCTGCTAAACTGTCTCTAGAAATTAATGGAGAAAAAAGATGCTTCCAAGACAAAGAGGAACTTGGGAAATTCACAACCACCAATCCAACTCTACAGAGAATACTGCAGGGCATTCTAGAGAGAGAGAAAAGTACTAGGATTCCAGGAACAGTGACAGAGAGGCCTCAAAGAA